CGCGCACTACTCTGGCGAGCGCGATGTCTGCCCCCCTGCTCGATGAGTCCCGCTTCCTGATGTACATTCCTCTGTACATCAGGGCCAGGAGCTCAATGGGGGCATGCTCGCCAGAGCTGTCGCCGCCACGTGGGATACAGTCCGGTAGCATCGGGCCACCCCGGAAGTAATCCTCGATGACGGCCGTGAGGTAGGGTGGGAAGCCAAAGTAGCCACGCATGGCCTCCACCACCCTACTCCAGGGCAGGGTGTTGAATGCGTTGGCGATGTCAAGAGACACCGCCACCGCCACCCTGCCCTCCTGCACGATGGCCTCCGAGAGGGATCGCAGATGCTGAATCGCATCCACGGTTGAACGTCCCTCTCGGAAGCCGTATTGGCCGTCATTGAGGTCAGGACCTTCCCGGGATATATGCTCACGAGGCGGGCAGTTATAACGCGCTCAAAGAGCTTGCCCGCCTCGTCCAGGAGGCATATGGGCCGGTATGCGGAGGGGGTATCCTCCGGTTTGCCCTCTTTGCGGAGGAGGATCACATTGGCCCTCCCCAGACTGGGCGGAACCTGCCTTCTCTCTGGGCTCGCGTGAAAACTCTCGCGAGCCTATCATTCAGGTACCCCGAGGCTAGGGTAAGGACGCGGCCGGAGATTCAATCGGGTCCTGGTGCCTTACGGCTCTTGATCCGTTTGATGGCCCCGGCCACCTCCTCCTCAGTGACCCCCGGTACCATCCCTTGTTGTTCTGGGGTGGGAATAATATACGGGCCTATGGAGTCCTCCCCCTGACCGGGAAGAGGGTCCGCATGACCCGCTCTAGAAACCGGGGGTCAAGCGTCTCCGTCAATGGGGGCGTCCATGGCTTCAACTTGTTCATTACCCTCCTGTATGGACGCCCCCACGGGTCCGCATCTAGCGAGAGGAGGAGGGTGTCCCACCCTCTTCCTCAGGCCGCCCCAATCGCATCCCTCAGGGATGCTGCCGCGAGGCAGAATTCCTTGCGGGCGGCCAGAATAGCCTCGGGGTCCGAATCAGGGTCGTTTGTAACCCTCCTAAAGGCCCGCCTGAGGTGGACCGACACCATAGCCTGAGATCGGCTATGGTGTCGGTCTACCACCAGGCGGACCTTTTTGGTCAGGACCTGACTCTGGGCATGGCTTCGTCACACGCTTGTGCGATCATCCCCATTATTTCCATGACATCAGAGTCAAGGTCCTGCCCTTCCATTTGCCGTGGCCAGGTGGCCTCCAGGAAGAGTTCCAGGGCCTCCCTGTCCAGCTGATTTAGGGCTCATCTTGCTGGTCGCGGATCCTTCTGGGGACATTGGGGCCGCAGGCCTTCGGGAGTGACGGACAGTTTCATCTCAATGATGAAGTGGTCTGAGAGAGCTTCAAGCTCGTCCGCCACCCTCCAGCTCCGCACCAGCTTCAGGGCCGCGGGGGAAGCTCACGTAAGGTCTATGATCGATTCCCCCCGCGACCCCACGAACGTTGATTTTCGTCCCTCATTCAGCAGGTGCATCAAGGCCCATCGCCCAGTCCTCCACTTCCTACCTCCGCCTGTCACCCCGCCGGGATCCCCACAACTCCGACTTCGCATTGAAATCCCCGGCGACGATGACAGGTTCAGGGAGGTACCGCTTAACAGACCTCCTCACTTCTCGAAGCCTGGACTTGAAACTCGGCAAGTCCAGGCTCTTTGTTGGGGGGAGGTACACCCCGACTACAATTAGGGCCCCCCACCTGGCTACGACGAATCCTTCCCCGCTACCCAAATGGGTAGCAGGAGGAGAGTTTCCGTTCGCCTTCCATATTATCGCGACGGAGCCCCGGTTGTCCCCAAACCATCTAGGATGGTTTCTTAGGACTTTGTAAGGCTCCGCCGCGATTCTTAGTCCTGCACCGCGCTCGGTGATGGTGTGATCGAAAAGCGGCAACGCTTGCCGAGCGCGGTGCAGATTCGCTTGGAGTAGCCCTGTATCCATTATAGTTGGATCAGCAACTTCTCCGCAGGCTCCTCCTCATTCTCGCTCCCACTTCCTTCCGTGGGCCCGTGACGTTTTTCCCCCCTCCTTTCCATGTCCATCTCCTGTTCCTCCCCCTGTGCCACAGTTACAGGGAGAGCTGGTTCTTCCGGTTCCAGTAGCGGGGGGGTGTAGGTTCCTCTGCTACTTCTGCATCTTTTTTCCTTTAGGGGGAAAGGGGAGCGCGAGTGGCATCGGTGCGGATGCCCCTCATCCCTCCTCTTTCTTCTCCTTTTGTTGGGGGGGGCGACACGCTGGTTCCTCTATACGGTGGCCCGCCGATAGGCCCGCATCCGCGTAAACTATGCATCTAGTTGATGCTACGCAGTTGCGGGCCAAATGACCCGTTTCACCGCACCTGTAGCAGCTTTGTCACCTATCTTTTTCACTGCTACAGTTTTGCTGCACGTGTCCTCTTTCGAGGCACCTGAAACACTGTAAAGGCCTCGTGTCTAGTAATTCCGCCCTTACCTGCGTCCATCCCATGGACAGCATTCCCTTTTCGGCGACCTTTTTTGCCGCCATTAGGGGACATCTGATCCATAACGATCTGGATCCCGACGGCATGGTCCTTATGAGCCCCGTTTGGACCTCCGCCACACCGCATTTGCAAACTTGGGCCACCCGCTCCGCAACCTCCTCTTCCGAGGTGGAGATCTCCAGCCCTCGGAGTCGAATCTCCCCCATTTTTTGTGGACGTGTGACCTTTGCTTTGTCCACCAGCATTCCTTTCAGTTTATTGGCGAGAGTGTCTGCCTATTTATTTCTGTCCTCCCCCGGGATCTCCAAGATCAGGGTTCCTGTGACGCCCTGTCTCGTTCTGATCTTGGAGATCCCTAGACCATCAATGTCTATTCTCCTCTTCGCTTCTGTGGGGATCTCTTTATACTTCCCCTTTTCCGCTGAAATCGCTATTGCTGCAGTATTGGGGATTTTCCTACTCCTTTTCTTTTCCTTCTTGCATTCCTTTACCATTATCTTTGGAGGCTGTTGTCTCTTTTCCTCCTCCTTTCTTTCCTTCCTTCTTTCCTTTCTCCCTACCACCTTTGCCCATGTCTCCTTGGGTTCAAGGGTGGATCTTGGAGGCCTTTGTGACAAGGGTTGGTCTTCTTCTCTCTGGGGCCTTAGGCTGGTGTTGCGGCCCTTGCGTTACTGATATTGGCTGGTAGCCAGATACCTTTTTGCCTCCTTTCTTGTTTCCTTTTTTCTCTTTTCCTTCGGGTCCTTTCTTTTGGACCTTTTTAGTTCCTTCTTCCTCTTTACGATCCTGGTCTTTTCCCATTTCTTCTTTTTTCCGAGTTTCCCATACCTCCATGGCGTTAAAGACAATGGAGGTGATCTTCTCCTCCATTGTCTTTTCTTCTTTTTTCACTGATGGATCGTTCTTCTCAATTCGCACTTTCGTGCTTAGAGGTACGTCCTCCCTTATCTTTGGTCCTGTTCCTTTCCCAACAGTCCCTCCATTCTCTTCTATTCTGGTGACGGGGTGTACTTTACCAGGTTTTATCATTCCTGGTTGGATCTCAATTACCCCCGTCATCACTGTCTCTTCCCCATCCGTGTCAGCGGATGGAAGTAGGATTTTCCTCTCCTTGGCTCTTTTCCTCCTTTCCTCCTCCCTTACGCAGTCCATAGGCGAGAGGGTCGCTGCCATTGGTGACAGCGTCCTCTTTACACCACGGAGCGCGTTTCCCTCGCGTGACTGGGGCGAGGGGGACACCGCCATAGGTGGCGGTGCCTCTTCTATACTCAATCGCGTGTCCTTGCCGTGCTCCATGGGCGAGGGGGATACCATCGTTGACGGTGGTGCCCTCTTTATACCTTGGAGCATGTTTTTCATTTCTTCAATCTCTTTTCCCATTTGCTCCTGTGAGGCTCGGAGTTGTTTATTTTCTTACCTTAGCTCTTCTAGGAGGTCCATGTTTTCCCCGCTTTCTCCCGCGGCCATTCTGTTCGTCAAAGTAGTTGTTTCGGCCGCTATGGCTGCCGACGCATCCCGTAGGACTTTAATCCCCTTTAAGTTTTTGGGGCGGACTGAGATCCTAATACTTTCATGGCCGCTTCAAGAATCGAGGCAGCCACGTCCCTATAAGGGGCATCCTCAAGGTGCTCCATTAGCCTATGTACCTCCACTCTATACTTCCTATTCAATGAGCAATCACTAAATCCCTTTGAAGGGTTCTGTAGTCCCTTTATTAGGCTTTCCTCTTTTTTTCTGGCAAAGAAGACTCTCTTTCTTTGCCAAATAGGCTTTCTTTTTCCTATATTCGCCCGTAGTCTCGGGCCACCCTCTCGGTCGGGTTGCTTTTTCCTCGAACCGTTTTCCTCATCCGTTTCCTCGTTTGATTTCCTGGGGATGTCCTAATTTCGACTTCTTCCGAGGATAAGCAATCGGATGAGGATTCGTCCACATTTATGGGCGTCCTGGACCTGGATCGGGGTTTCGCAGTTTGCTTGGTAGTAGCACTACGAAGCCCTTCCCTTCTCGTCAGCCGGCTAGTGCTCGGTTGTTCCTCCAGGGCTCTGTCCCCCTCCTTCCCACTGGAGCTGTGGGTATAATCCAGATTACTTGTGTCCATTTTTCCAGCCAGGGTCGTCGTATCATGTTCCAGATCCGATATAGAAGTATTCGAGTCAGCCATTGTGGTTTGAAACCCACCACTCTGAAAGGTTCTGGTACCCGGGCATGCCCGCATTCCCGGAAGGGGAAGTCTCCGAGTTCCCCCAGAGGAGCACCATATGGCACGGGCCGACGGAATATTACATCGTCGGCACTGGCCTCCCGCCCCCTACACGCGCCCTGACCACCATTTCTGGTGGCCAGACCGCTTTCGGGGTTCCCACGCCTCCGACAATGTGGGCACCGTGCGGAGCGCCGCCACGTGCGGGGCCCCATGGAAGGAGGTAGTTCACCGGTGTCGCACCCCACCGGGAACGCCTCCCCCATGGCAGTCAGCGTGTTCGCGCCGCTCGAGGGTCCGCTTTAGGGTGATGCGATCTCACCATGGCTCAGCACTCCAGGCGGGGCAGTCCTGGAGTGTATGTTGCGCGGAGTTATGGTAATGTCCACAATGGTGGCAGGAAGTTATGCGCTCCTTACCTATTCGGCACAGGTACTCACCGAAGCAGCCATGCCCGGTGAGTACCTGTGCCATCCTGAATGTCAGGGTCACATGGGCCCTTCCTACCCACTCTTGTAGGAAGGGCCGGACTGCATCGATAGTCTTCCTCTCGTACCTGGCGTTGGCCAGGAGTCTTTGCCACCTCTGGAGGAGGACCTGCCGAGCCTGGTGCTTCATTCCACATATAGCCCTGGCGAGCGGTTCTCCGCCCCCCCCCGTACAAATGAGCCCACGCTTCTTGTTATACATGTATTTGTATGACAGGGCCATGAGCTCCAGGGGGGACATGCTCGCCAGGACCGTCGCCGCCACGCAGGATACAGTGCTGTAGCACCGCGCTACCCTGGCCGCCAGCACCCTCTGCACTCTGCGCATCTGCGCTTGCAGCGGACGACTGGCGGCCAGGGCCTCCGCCCAAACTGGCGCTCCATAGAGCGCCACGGAGTTCAACACTCCTGCGTGGAGGCGACGATCCTTCCCATCTGGTCCCCCGACGTTGAGCATAATCTGGCAGATATAACTCTTAATCGGGGGACCAGCCTATTGACGTGTTCCCTGAAGCACCAGGTGCCGTCCAATCTGAGGTCCAGATAATTCATCTGGGCCTCCAACAGGACCCTGACTGCACCCACCCGCACCTGGGCTTGGGGTGGCTTCCTTCCTTTATTGTGAAAGAAGATGGCTTCTGTTTTCCTTTCAGCCACCACCAAGCCCAGATTGCGGATGGCACGCACAACTGCCATCGCGATGTTAGCCGTGTGTACGGCTTCCTCCCAGTCATTCCCCCCGGCCAGGATCAGAGTATCGTCCGCGTAGCATACGATGCTACAGCCGGGGGGAGGGCTGTTCGGAGGACTGAGTCATATCCGAGGTTCCACAGTAGTGGGCCCAAGACTGAGCCCTGTGGAACCCCGCAACTCATTCCCCTCTCGCGCACCTTGCCGTCGGCGTCCGTCCAAGTGAGACGCCGACCCCGGAAGTAATCCTCGATGACAGCCACGAGGTAGGGTGGGAAGCGGAAGTAATTCCGCATTGCCTGCACCACCCTACCCCAGGGCAAGGTGTTAAATGCGTTGGAGATATCCAAAGATATCGCCACTGCCACCTTGCCCTCCGTCACGATGGCCTCCGAGAGGGATCTTGGATGCTTTATCGCATCCACAGTAGATCTCCCCTCCCAGAAGCCATATTGACCATCATCGAGGTTGGGAGCTTCCTGGGACATATGCCTCTGGAGGCGGGCAGCTATGATTCTTTCGAAGAGTTTGCCCGCCTCATCTAGGAGGCATATGGGCCGGTACGCGGAGGGGGAGTCCTCCGGTTTGCCCTCTTTTTGGAGGAAGACCACATTGGCCCTCCTCCAGACTGGGGGGAACTTTCTCTCCCTAAGGGCTCGCGTGAACAAGTCGGCAAACCTCCCGTTCATGTACCCTGAGGCCAGGGTAAGGACGCGGCCAGGGATCCCATCCGGTCCAGGAGCTTTTCGGCTCTTGACCTTTTGGACGCCCTCGGCCTCCTCCTCCTCTGTGACCCCGGTACCTCCCCCTGTTGTTCAGGGGATGGTAAAATGTAGGGGGCGATGGGATTACCCTCCCCAACCGGGAAAAGAGCTCCCATCACCCTCCCCAGGAACCGGGGGTTAAGTGTTCTGATACCCACCACTCTGCACGGCTCCGGTGCCCAGGCATGCCCGCATCCCCCCGGAAAGGGGGAGCCTCCGAGGTCCCCCAGAGGAGCACCATATGGCACGGGCCGACGGAATATTACATCGTCGGCACTGGCCTCCCGCCCCCTACACGCGCCCTGACCACCATTTCTGGTGGCTAGACCGCTTTCGGGGGTCCCGCACCTCCGACAATGCGGGCACCGTGCAGAGCGCCGCCACGCGGGGGGCCCCATGGAAGGAGGTAGTTCACCGGTGTCGCACCCCACCGGGAACGCCTCCCCCATGGCAGCCAGCGTGCTCGCGCCGCCCGAGGGTCCGCTTAGGGTGATGCGATCGCATTCCCTCAGGCACATAGGGGCTCCGACCCTGCCTCGGAATACGTCCGAGCGGCCCGGGACACCCCTCCACCCCCCGCGTACCATGAGGCAAGCCTCATGGTGTGCAGACCCGGGTGTGGGTTCCTCTGTCCGTCCGGCCGAAGCCGAACGGGTGAGGGAAATCGGGGAAATCCACCTTCAACGAAGGTGGAGTCCTCTTCCCTCATCACCCAAGGGTGCCCCGACCCCGACCTCGGAATAAATCCGAGCGGCCCGGGACACCCATCCACCCCCCAGGTACCATGGGAGTTATACCATGGTGTGCAGACCCGGGTGTCGGATCCTCCTTCCGCACGGCCGTGACTGTGTCGGATGAGAGAAGGAAGTCCTCTCTCTCTTCGGCTGCCGGAGATTCAGGGATGGTGATCTCCTCCCACCCGCTCTGTGACTGTACTGGTCAAGGACCAGGCTGGTCACACAGCCCGGTCGGGTGCTCTTGGTCCAGTCCCTCCGTACAGACCACTCCGGCATGGTAGAACCTGCCAGGGGCTGAAACCCCCGCCGGCACAGCTCTGTACATCATTGGGACCTTCAAGCCTCCCCACCACGTCAAGGTGGCACCCACGGGGAGAGAGCCATCCTGGATATTTTTTTTTTCTTAACGATGTGGAAATCCACCATGGATCCCCCCTCCTCCGGGGAGGAGAGGGGGGTATGCCGGACTCCTACCGGCTAAAACCACACCGAGTGGCACTACGAAGGGAACATGTTCGGGAGGTAGGGGCCGTTTCTTGAATATGCTTCTGCCCCCCGGATCCGGGCCTTCGCCCCGCGTCCCTGGGGAGTGGGGGGGCAGGCTACCCGGCGCTCGCAAGCCCGAGTAGTTGTTCCTCAACCACCGCTCTCCCGTATCCACTCCCCCGCGCCGTCCAACCGGGAAGGGGGAAACACACGGTGCCAGCCAGTTGGCTGAAACACCGCTGGCCACTAAAGGCCCGCTTCAACCGTTCCCGGCGGACGAGGCGTCGTCTTGTGATGTTTGGCGACCAGGTGTGCCACCACCACCTGGTTGCCCCAGCGTATGGAGGGCTGGTTGGGGTCCAGGTTCCCTGCCTTGGACCCCACCCTCCTCCCTGGCGTCTACTTGTGAGGGGGAATATTTATCCCCCCTCGCAGGCGCCAGGGCCTCTCACCCGAGGAGTTATGAGGGTCCTATAGGGGTACCCTCCTCCTCGGGTGGGCGGAAGAGGGAGGACCTTATGGGGGTGGTACTGGGCTGGTGGAGCGGGCGGCTGTTCGGCCCTTTTTCCCCTCATGCCCGATTTCTCAGACACGGAGGTTCACTGAGGAAGGGGTAAGTCTCCCTCCTCCATTTCCCCACCGACCCAATTATTTATTGTCTGATCCTGGCCTCCAGGTTCAGACAGCTCTCCTTCCCGTGTCATCCCCCCTCTCTCGCCCGGCGCGAGGACGGGGGGAGAATCATGGGGGGAACACCACCCCTACGTGTTCCCTCGTTGGGGGGGGCGATCGCACGACGCACAAGGCGCCTATTATCGCCCTCACTATTTTGGATCGCCAGTTTACAGAATGGCCCGGCCATCCTGTGACTGGCGTTCCATCCTTTCTCCTCACACATCACGCACCTGACCGGTGCTTGGCACCCCTGCGCGATGTGCCCATCCCGACCACACCTGTAACATAACCCTCTGCGGTCAACCGCAGAGGTACACTTATCCCAGGTGTGGCCGGTCTCCCAACATTTGTGGCACTGAAGCGGCCTGGCCGCCAGCAGTATAATGCCAGCGACAGACCACCCCAGTACCACCTTCCCCTTCCTGGCCGCTGTGATAGCAGCAGTCAGGGGAAGACGAGCCCATACCGCGCCATTTCCTCCTGGTTCCCACTTAAGGGGGCCAAGTTGTATCGCGCCTTCCTCGCAGTCTGCGCAGTTTGCCAAGGCAATCCTCATTTCTTCGGGGGAGGCTGACTCATCAAAGTCCACGAGTCTAACCTCCCCCTTCTGCGCTGGGCGAGTAATCCTCGCCTCTGGGATTATCTCCCTCATCTTCTCCGCTAGTCGGTCCGCCTTTGCGCCTCCAGGTCCAGGATCCCTGACTCGGACCCGTAACGCTCCATCCGCGCTCCTTCCCACGTTCACTCCAGGGATCCCCAGGTCCTTCAAATTTATCCCTCTCGCCTTCCTAAGGGCATCCGCATAGGATCCCCCTTGCCCTAATCTAACCGCCACTGCTGCCGTAGTCGGCAACCGTGGCCATCTCCCTCTTTCCGTCGACATGGGAGGCGTCGAACGAATCTCCTCCACCTCCCTATTTCTTCTCAGTTGCACTTCCTCTTCAGGTCTCACCCTCTGATTTACCCTCTTTCTTGTTAAGTTCCTTCCATCTTCCTTGTCTCCTCTTTCTTTTCTTTTCCTGCTTCCTATCACTGCCGTCTATTCCATATTTTGAACTTCTTCTTCCCTTTCCTTTCCTGCATCCTTTCCTCTCCTGGTAATGTTTTCCTCTTCCGTCTGTACTGATTCTTCCTTTCTCGATACCTCCACCTGTACCGCTTTCTCCTCCCCACATACTTCCACTTGTGTGGAGGTTGTGTTCTTTTCTACTTCCATTCTGTTATCGTTTTCCTTCTCTTCATTATTCATTATTTCTTGCAACTCTTGTAATTCTTTTATCTTTCCTTCCAAATGTTTTATCCTTTGTTTTTGTTCAATATTTTCCTTTTTCCCCTCTGTTATTACATCTCTCCATATTTCCAATGTCTCCTTTTTTTTCCCTATTTCTTGCACTTCCAGCACTTCCACTTTCTCCTCTTCATTTTCCCTGGTTCTCCTCTCCACCTCAAGGTTTTCTTCCATTTCTTTCATTTCCGTCTCCATTTCTTCTTTCATTTCCATCATTTTCTTCTCCATTTCTTCTATTTCCCCTCCCAACCTTTCCAGTTCTTTAATCTTCTCTTCATTTCCTTCTAGGACCTTCTGTCTCTCCTTAATCTTTTCTTCTGTTACCCTTTCTTTCTCTCTTGCCTGCTTCAATTCTTCCAGCGCTTCCTTGGACCTGGCTATGTTCCACGCGCACCTCCTATGCACCTCTCTGCCGCAATTCACCAGTCTCCTTACGTCCTTCGCGCTGGTGAGAAGGTCTAGAAGGAGAAATTTCTTCCCTTTCGGTATGCCTCGATTCCGCTCCAGCTCCTCTGCCTGTGCATCTATATATTCCTCCCAGGAATCCCATACTTCCTCCGAATAAGGGAGGTCCGCATGAAAGTTGAGACCTTTCACCTCTTTCCTCTTTGGAGTGATCCTCAATTCTTCCACCTCTTTACGAACTCGTTCTAAGAACAAGTACTTCTTGTTCCCTCCCTCAGAGGAGCTACATTTTCCCGACCCTACCTCTCTCTTTCTTTTCAGGAACTCAGCCATTTTGGATACATCCCATGCTCCCCCAGCGGCTCGACCGAGCGGGCATGCCCGCACCAGCAAGGATAAATCCCTACTGGTGTCCCCGAGTTCCCCCGGGGAGCCGGTCTATACTTCGGGCTCAGGGAAAAGACCATCCTGAGCACTGGGTTCCCGCCCCCTACTCCCGCCCTGACCCCCATTGCTGGGAGCCAGGCCGGTTTCGGGGGTCCCCGGCCTCCGACCACCGTGGCACCGCTGGGGGCGCAGCCACGCGGGAGGCCCCGTGGGAGGAGGTAAGTCACCTGTGTCGCAACCCACAGGGACCCCTCCCCTACGGCGGCCAGCGTGATGTCGCCGCCCAGGGAATGGGTTTTGGGTGTTGCGACCCCTATTCCCTGGGCTCACCCCGGGGGCCCCGGCCCCGACCTCGGAATCTGTCCGAGCGGCCCGGAGCCCCCCCCACCCCGGGTACCGTGGGGGTTTCAAACCCCACGGTGTGCAGACCCGGGTGTGGCCCGTCCCTTCGGGCTACCGGAGCACCGGTGCACAATGCCCTTAGGGACGGTCTCCCCAGGGTGGGGTCCTGTTCCTCTGACTGCCGGAACACCGGTGTGCAATGTCATAGGAGTGGGGTCCCCACCCTTAATACTCCATCCAAAAATCGGTCCAGCGGAGAGGAAGCCGCCCCCTTCAGCTGCTGGAACACTAGCGTGCAATGCTTCCAGGGACAACCGACTCCTCCCACTGGACTCATACGGCCTTCCCAGATTGCTCTGGGTCGGCTACTTTCCTGGGTTGGACGCTCTTAGTCTGGCCCCTCAGTACAGACCACTCCGGCATGGTAGAACCTGCCAGGGGTCGAAACCCCCGCCAGCACAGCTCTGTACATCATCGGGGCACGCAAGCCCCCCACCACGACAAGGTGGCGTCCATGGGGGAGAGGTGTGTGGGGGTCCTGAATGGGACCCCCTCGAAACCCCCCCTCGGTGAGAAACCGAGGGGGAAACTGCCGCACCCACCCCCCGGGGGTGGGTCTTCCCCCCAGGACTCCCTCCTCCTCCGTACCAGAACGGATTCGGGGGTCACACCCTGGGGGGAGGCTATCCCTCCTGGCGCGGTCAGGGGTGTTCCCGCAAGGGGTCGGCCTACCCCCGACCACTCCTACCTGGCCCATGGGTCCCGGTGCGGGGGCCTTTAGCATTGCGAGGCCACTACCGCACCGGCAGATCCCATGGGAATGGGTGGGGAGAGCTACCTTTGCTCATTACCTCCCCACTCCTCCCACCCCGCCTCCGCCAGGAGGGATACTGAGACCTCGACCTCCATTGTTTCTGCCTCAGTGACGCCCTTCGGCTTAACCGCCGAGGGAGGGTCCGGCGCCGTTGGAGCGGCCGTCGTTCCTCCCGCCGCTGGTCTTACCTGGTCAATCGACGGCGGAGGCTGAACACTATCAGCCTCCGTCGCCCCCACCCCTACCTCTTCGGCCTTACTTGGGCTTGGCAACGGTTTCCCGTCCCTATCCTTTGCGGCGACGCCGCCAGGAGGCTGCGGCCGAGCATCAGCCGCAGCCCCCCCACGTGCCGCCTTCTTTCTTTTTCTCTTCCTTCGGGGAGGGGCTCCTCCCCTTGGGGCAGCCCTGGGGACCGTCTTGCACGCTATCCCCCCCATTCAGTGGTCAGCCCTTTTTCTCTCATGGTGGCAAAGGGGGCACCGTACTGCCTCGGTGCACCCCTTTGCCACGTGACCGGCCCCTCCGCATCATAATGTGTCCACCCCATAATGCCATTCTGTTTCCCCTTCGAAATCATGGAACACATGTTTTATCTTTATTTAATATCTTTCATAGTTTTCGAGATTTTTTACCTGTTACGTTTGAAATTTAGCATCCTGTATACATATTTACAAAATCGGTCCTGAAATATAAGAAATAAAAATAAATTCATTAATGAACTTCTAATATTACAACAACTTTAATGGTTCCTAAAGTTACTTGTAGGAATTAACAGTTAACAGTTACCTGTTGTTGTCCCGTACAGTCGCTTATAATACCAATATATGTGTTAGTAATCAAAACCCTGCTTTATAGTGACGTTAGAAATAATACACGGAATACGGCCGAAATTTGATGGTGATATATTACATTAACGATGCAATATTTCTCATGTTCCAAAATTGTATTGTACGTGACATGATGCAATGCTCGGTACAGTCTTTTATATACGATAAATATTAGGCGGCCTGATTGCGAAATCTGACTTTGTAAAGACCTCGGGGATAGATCGAGGAATATGTTATAACAATTTAGTGCTGATATATGACAGCAAAGAGGTAAAATATTTTTTCTTGTAACATGGTATTTCGCGGGACTCGCTGCGATGTTTCGTACGACACACGCTTCATTAATATATGATAAATTTTTGACAGCCGGAATTTAAAATCTGACTCTGTAGGGACCCCGATAATAGTTCAAGGAATATTCCATATCAATTCGGCGGTTATATATATATTATGCCAACAAGGCGGAATATCTCTTCTTGTGAAATTGTATTCGCGTAATCCGCCTTAACGCTTGATGCATCTTTATTTATTTATAATAAAAGTTAGACAGCCTGATTGCAAAATCTGGCTTTGTGAGGATCTTGAGAATAGTTTTAGAGATATGCTATAACAATATGTTGATGACATATTACATCAGTGAAGGAATATATCTCATTTTGTACAATATGCTATTATACTTGATCCGCTCCGACGCTTCATACATCTTTATTTATCTATGATACATTTTTCATGGCCTGACTGCAAAATCTGTTTCTGGTTCTAGGTTTCTCGGGGACAGTTCAAAGAAGATGCTATAACAATTTGGCGGTGAAACATATCGTCAACGAAGTGAAATTTTGCATCTCCTACAATAATTTTTCGATTGATTCGCTCCAACGCCTGGTATGACAAGCATTTTATTTATTAGGTGCGCAACTAAGTTCCCGCTGTTTTTCAAGAGATGGCTCCAGTAGTAAGTGCTGGTCGATTGTGACATAACCAAAACGTCATGAACCAAGCTTAGACATATGGTAATCAAACTACTTTGACACATTAGTGATTTTGTTTTTGCGTCATATACTTTTGGTTGTGTGAAAATGTCTGATTTTGTGCCAAATAATCGTCATTTGCGGGAAGTGTTGCTTTTCTTCTTTCATTCGAAGAAAACGGCGGCTGAAGCGCATCGAGAACTTCAAAAAGTTTACGGAGATGCTGCTCTAAATGAAACAACGTGCCGTGATTGGTTCCGTCGCTTCAAAGACGGTGATTTCGATGTTGACGACCGTTCGCGTGAAGGAAGGCCAAAAACCTTCGAAGATGCTGAATTGGAGGCATTGCTCAATGAGGATCCGTGCCAAACGCAAAAAGAGCTTGCTTCAGCATTAGGAGTTACCCGCCAAGCCATTTCCAAGCGATTGTATGCGTTGGAAATGATTCAAAGACAAGGAACTTGGGTTCCTTATGATTTGAAGCCAAGAGACGTTGAGCGTCGTTTCTTCGCCTGTGAACAACTGCTCCAGCGGCAAAAAAGGAAGGGTTTTCTTCATCGCATCGTTACGGGTGATGAAAAATGGATTCATTACAGCAACCCAAAGAGAACAAAATCATGAGGACTGCCCGGTCATGCTTCTACGTCGTCAGCTCGGCCGAATATTCACGCTGCGAAGGTTTTGCTGTGTATTTGGTGGGACTAGGGCGGTGTTATTTATTATGAGCTGTTGAAACCGAACGAAACCATCACTGGGGAACGGTATCGAACTCAATTGATGCGATTGAGCCGAGCACTGCGCGAAAAACGGCCACAATACGAGCAGAGGCACGAAAAAGTGATTCTACAGCATAACAACGCTCGGCCTCACGTTGCCAAATCCATTAAAACCTACTTAGAAACGTTCAAATGGGAAGTTCTACCCCACTCGCCATATTCCCCAGATATTGCGCCGTCCGATTATTACTTGTTCCGTTCGATGGCACATGGTCTGGCTAATCAGCAGTTCCGCTCATATGAAGACATCTCAAATGGCTTGATTCGTGGCCTTAAAAGACGAACACTTCTACCGTGACGGTATTCGAGCTCTGCTAGAAAGATAGGAAAAAGTTGTCGCCAGCGATGGGCAATATTTTGAATGATTCATTTGTAACCATTTTTTCACAATAAAGTTGCATTTTCATCAAAAAACAGCGAGAACTTAGTTGCGCACCTAATATATATTATAAATTTTTGACGACCGGATTGCAAGATCTGGCTCTGTAGGGATAGTTCAAGGAAGATACCATAATAATTTGGCGGTTATATGTATTGTCAACGAGGCAATATATTTGTTCTTGTAAAATTGTATTCCGCTTGATTCGCTGCGATATTTGGTACAGCTGACGCTTTAATTATATATAATAAATTGTTGACGGCCTGTTTGTAAAATCTAACTCTGTAGATATCTCGGGAATAGTTGTAGGAAGATGCTAAAACAAGTTCATGGTCATATATTACGTCAACAAAGCAAAATATTGCTTCTTGTAAAATGGTATTCCACCTGACTCGCTGCAACTCCTGGTACGGCTGATGCTTTATTTATATACATTATAAATTTTGGACGGCCGGATTGCATAATCTAGCCGTGTAAAGTCCTCAGCGGTAGTTCAAGGAAGATACTATAACAGTTTAGCAATTACACATATCGTTAACGAGGCGAAATATCTCTTCTTGTGAAATTGTATTCGCGTGATCCGCCTTGACGCTTGGTGAATCTTTATTTATTTATGATAAAAGTTAGACAGTCTGATTGCGAAATTTGGCTTTGTAGAGACCTCGGAAATAGATCGAGAGATATGTTGTAACAATTTGGTGGTAATATATGAGTGCAACGAGGCAAAATATCTTTTCTTGTAACATGGTATTTCGTGAGACTCGTGATGTTTCGTACGACGCTCGCTTTATTAAAATATTATAAATTTTTGACGGCTGGATTGCAAAATCTGGCTCTGTA